GTGTGCATATAAATTAACGTATGACAAATTATAATTAATTTACTTGCTAAATTTGATAAGTGAGCTCTCCAACACTTTACTGTTGACAAATAAGAACATTTTTTACCTTGAAAATTAAATCATTCATTATATAAATGAATTACAGAGATTTTTAAGTTGTCTTTCGTAAGTGTTTTGAAAAATATAGTCCTCAATGTAAAAATACTAGCCGATATATCAACTATTTCTCTATTTAGGTTAAAAGTGTCATAGACTTATAGATCATAATTGTATGAATTAAAAGTTTTTTATTAAAACGATATGAAAATTTCAGCAAGCTTCCTAAAAACCTCACTGTCAAACTCCAGTTACAGTTGTACATGTAGAAAAATATATATACATCATGCTATCGTATTTTTATTCACAATTTTCAGTTATTTCTCGTATTGTTACAATGTTTCACATGAAACAGAATTTCCAGCGCCTAGAATATCTTTTTTTGTTCGTTATTTAAATCCTTCGTGGTTAACACGATTTGATGTAAAACTCTATTTGATGATTATTACAATAGTTATGAATTTAACCATAAATTTAACATAAAGGATGGGCCAGAATTACTGAAATGTTTCAGTAATTCTCACCCTTCATTCTCAAAAATCACAATGTACATACTTTGACATGAATTAACTTAGCCATGAAAACAAGGATTTTATTTTAAAAAGAATTCTCAATAGTCAACTCTAATACTGTGTCCAAAATTGAACGACCGCTATAGTAATTGTTTAGACTATAATACTTTTTTTCTGATAAAATGACTTTAATTTAAAGGAGTTTTGAAGGAAGATTTAAGATTTCAAAGACGGGAAAAAACCTCTCGTTCTAAGTAAATATGTGATGTTGATTAACGTTTAAAAAATAACTGCAACTTCATGATAATCGAAAACGGGCTAAAACTTTAAAGATTGTTCTTTATAATATATTCGTCTCTTAGACGGTTTTACGACATTCGATTTGTTCTTTGGACTAGTTAAAGTGTTGAAAATTCTAACCTTAATAAATAAAATTTCAAGGAAAACTTTTTTTCTTCTCTCTGCCGATATATTGAATTTTTCTATTGGAAAATTTTGCTTTAAATCATCACATATTCATAGCATGTTTCTGACACTTTTAGAAATCTCGCTAAACCACCTTATTATATATCTAAAACTTTCACGTCAAGATTTTCTAAACTAAAGTGCATGCTCCATTTAGTAAAAAAAGACATCACGTCTTTTTTCTTTTTCAGTTGATCGACATTTCCATTTTCCATTTGCATTGATAGTTGATACCGCCTGTTTATAGCCTCTTCGCTGTCCGAAAGATAAATTTTTCCATAAAAAAATGATATTGAATTGAGCACATGGGTGAGTAGCCAAAGTTGTCTACTCTCTGAACCCACAGTCTTTTTGACAATATCATATCATCGATAGAAAAAAAAACAGTTTTATGCAAAACTGTGGAAAAGTGCATTTTCGTATTCAGCACACTCGATAACTCAGAAGATTTTCTATTTTAGACTAGGAGTATCGCCAGTTTAACAAAAGTTATGACAAGTTTACTAAGAGCTCTAAAATCGGTATCGTGCGCTAACGTCACCATATATTAAAATCGATTTTCCTCTTCATCGCTCTTAAAGTTCTCACTCAGTTTAGGTATTCGAGAGGTCGGAATAATTCCATTTCGTAGAGAAACGACGATACAGAATCGAATTTTTGTGTTTCGTGTGAGAAGGCAAGGAAAACGAAAGATCTGTGAAAGAAGTTTTTAGGGATTGTGCCAAAAAATGTTTTATGTTGATCAGTAACACAAAGTTTCAAATTTCTACTCTGTACTGCATAAGTGACGACATTTTTCTACGAAACAGAGCCATTACGAGCTCTTGAATTTTCAACGGCTGTTGTGTAGAAAAATGGAAATTTCTTACAGAACTTCAGAAAAGTCGATTTTTAGTGATATTATGTATTGAATTAGTTTATACTCAAACGTTATAGAAGCTGCAGTACAATCTTTAACTACCAGTATACTATACGTAACCAGATAACATTTTCTCCATGAACTCAACATTCTTAACAAGATGCGGTGCGAATCTTTTTTTGTCTTGCATTAAATTAGTTGTTTCAGTAAAATCTTATTTTTCTCTCTGTGTTTCTCTCTCTCGTGTGTTACATAATCTTAGGACTGATAAAAAGTCATATAGCCCGATCGGCAAATTCAAGTACAATTTTCTGTCAATGCTATTTATTTCGAATGATAAATTACAATGAGCCTTCATTCAGTTTCTAAGTTTACACTTGCTCTACGGCATAGCAAATCTTGTCTTTATGTTTTTCTCTTCATATGCTAAAAAACAAAAATCGTCGGTTTCAAATTGATCTCATTTTTATGATGGAACAAACATATATGTTAATCACTTAGACAACGCACACACACACACACACACAAATGATGACTTTATCTATATTCGTTTGGCGTAAATTAAACACACATCTTCTAAAAGCAAGAAGAAACATTTTTCTCTCTCTCTTTCTCTTGTAATAGTAGCCTTAAGGTATCTATATTCCTTAAAATGGAGTTAGTTAGTTGTTGTCGGTCGGTCATATAAGGAGTTATGATTACATGATCATCATAACTCAATAACTCACTACACATAGCCACTAACACACACACACACACACACATAAATTTCCGTTTAAAACATGTTATTTCAAACTAATCCTATAAAAGAAGAGAAAGTGTTTCTCATAGGAATTGTGTGCCATCTTCGTGATTTACTTGTTTAACGGAATAAAATTATATTCAAGGAAAATATTTCTTTTATTAGATAAGAGAAAGAGATGCGCGCTAGTGTTGAAAAAATTCAAATCTTTAAACAATATGCAAATGTTTTCAAGGTAAATAGTGGTTGGTTGTCGTTTGTTGCCAAATTATGACTGTCATTGTCCGTCTGCTTCTTTGGGGAAAATAATAACTTTTGATTCTTTTGGTTATTTCTATAGTGTAGAGAGTAATTATTTGATGATGACATTGAAAAGTGAAATGTTATAGTGAAAGAGAAAGGTTTGAATCAATTGGGAATAATTATCAGATTTTCTCTCTATATATCATGAGAGCGAGAGTTTAAGCTGAGCACATATGTTAAGGAAATCAGATGATATCGATAGAACAAAAACACACTTTTTGTCACTAAAAAGAAAGAGAATTACACAACAGAGTTTGATGAACTTCTATGCAATGATTGTCCAATATTATTAGCTAATGATAATCATCTTTTAAACGAATCATCTGTGATAAATTATATTGATCATTATTTAGTATATCGATTTGATCTTATCAACATATAAGATCCTTCGTTTGGTCAGATACTTCCTTCCTGATACATTTATCTTTTAGTTATACAAAATAATTCACTTTCTTTCTCTTTCTTTCTCCTTCTGTGCGAAAAAAAAGAAGAAAAACTTTTCGTTTTTTCTTTCCTTTTTTTTCCCCTCTGATTTATATTTTTTCTTCTTCTTCTTTGAAGCTCTCAGATTTTGAACACATCGATGCCATCGCGTTATATTGTGCATCTATTTTTAACACATAAAAATAAACTTGAAAATTTTAATTTGAATGCGCGTACCATCTATACTTATGACAGAGGTATGTATCTTACAACTATTGATCGTATATCTCAAGTATTTGAGACTAGTAGAATATTTATAAGTTGTTATTTTTCAATAATGATTGTCAAAGTGTTTATTTAGTTCGTATGCTGTACAGTAGAGTAGAAAGAATATAGGAAATTGGTATACCATTTCTTGTATACACTTCTGTGAAAAAATAATCAAGAGACACCATTATTGAGAGTAAGTACCAGCCAGAGGAGTTCAACGTTAGAAATGAAGAAGCAAAAGAAAACTTTTATTCGTTGTATAATATTTTTATTAGGAAAAATTCTTTATTATCAAAATGTTGATTTTATCAGTCTATAAAACATAAGTTTGTAGAATGTGAACATGTAGTGATATACAAGACTATTTAGAATAGATACAATTTTCATGGAATATAATATGCGAGCTTGCTAAAGTCAGAAATATGTGAAACTCTCAGATAATCTTTAAAGCATACTGTTAGATCAGTGTAATCAGCAGCGTTTTTATAATATTACTTTGGTCATTTTCTATGTTAGATCGTGTGTAACATTCTCTATGGCTTATAATTTTTATCCGATGATATTTGCCAATTGTTACTTAGTTTGATAAACGCATAATAATAATAATAATAATAATAACTTTTTCCTCTTTTCTTATGATAGAAACAAAAGACTAATATTATTCTTGTTAGAAAAATTAACGATATTTAGTAAGATCAGGGTCATTTTTTATTCTCGCTCTCTCGAAATATAATAATAATAATAATAATAATATCCATCGTCATCATCAGAAAAATATTGCGCAGAATAAAACAAAAAAAAAAAATTCATCATTTGTCTACAATTGTCAACATTACTATCATCGGATACCGTATCATTTGTATCTATTAGACTAAATCAGACTGGAACAAAAAATGTAAATGATTTAGAACAGCTGTTCACGTTCATAAAATGATAGTTTTTTCATATGCTGTGGTTGAAACATTTCATTGCCAAAATGTCAATTGATGAACAACCAACAATAAGGCACAATGATGTAATATTTTTCGTCTCTCTCTCACTCTTCCTCAATCGGAAGCGTAAAAGTATATGTGTGAATTTCATGTAAAATAATTGACACTAATCATTCATTTATCACCTAGAGTTTATGTTATACGTATTGAATATACTATTTAATTAGCCTCGTCAGTTCTAAGCGATTTCTCTTTTCTTATTTTATTCTCATCTCGTTTCATTGTTCGTTTAGGTTCGTTTATTTCTTCTTCATGCAGTACATCTCGTTTTTTTGATGAAATAAAGAATTGATAAAATAACAATTCACTAGAAGAAAACAACAACAAAAAAGAAAAAAATGAATACTCGTCATCTTATTATTATTTTAATGATATTAATCAAACTTAGTATTGGTGCACCTCGTTTAAAATATCGTTCATCTGTTAAAGAAAATGTTGATTTATATCATACTGTTACATCATTAGATGAAATGTTAAATTCATCATATCAATCTGGACAACAAACAATAGAATTTTTAAATTCAAATTCACTTTATGCTACATATTTTCTTGTTGATGGTCAAAAATTACGAACATCTAGACTAATTGATCGTGAAGAATTTTGTCGAATTAAATTATGTGAAAAATCTATATGTCGTCCATGTGAAATTGAAATGGATTTTGTATTAAAAGAATTTGGTGGACAACCAAAAGATATAATATCGTTAATATTAAATGTTGAAGATGTCAATGAATTTAGACCACAATTTGAAGATAAAATTGAATTAAATATTAGTGAAGGTGTACCAGGTAAGATAAAATCATCCTATACACACTTATAAGAAAATTTGATTTCTAAAGATTAAATATAGAATGAGTTAATATGAGATGATAATAATAATAACTATCCTAGTATATTTTATCAGGATAAGAAATTATCTTAAGTAGAGAATTTATATAATCTATTTGATTTGCTAAATAATGTTGACAGAAACAATTTCTGAACTTAATCAAATATGATATAGAGAAAATAATTTTTTAAAGAATTTTTATGACATCTGAATGACAATTAATAATTTCAAGATCATCTATGTTAATGTGTCTTATGGAGTCTTGACATTCCAAGTTTATTGAAATTGCTCCCAATTACAGTTATAACTTATAAAATTATTAAAGAGACTGGATTCATAATGATGTTGTATTAAAATCTCTATAACAAACATTAATAGCAGGAAATATTATATGTTGTTCGATTAATTTTATACCCAGATCCAATTATCATTTCTGTCAAAGATGTGTGTGTGTGAGAGAGAGAGAGAGAGAGAGAGAGAGACGGTTGTAGAAATGAAAAAATAGGCAGCATTTTTGGTTCTGTACAATTTTCAGATCTACAAAACATTGTTATCTTTTTTACTCATAGTTGGCCATGTGTTGCCAATACCGAGTGCGACCGACAAAGATGGAGATGATGATGAATTGGTTTATTGGTTAGATGATCATTTACCTACTGAACAAAATCAACATCAACATCATCGTCCGTCTAAACGATTAAATCCGTTTGAACTTGTGTCATTTGGTTCAAATCAAATTGGTATTAACAAATACTAGTTTAATTTCATGTCATTCTAAATAAAGTTTATTTTAGCTCTCAATGTAACAGAACCACTTGATCGTGAAATGAAATCATATTATGAATTATATTTGACTGCTACAGATCGTGGAAATTTAACATCGTCTACACCTGTCAAAATCTACATAACTGATATTAATGATCATATACCTGTATTTGAAAAATTATTATATATCATAAATATATCAGAATCACAAGTACCCTCATTTACTCAACCATTACTGACAGTTCACGCTTATGATAATGATTCAAATGAAAATGGTCATGTTAAATATAATTTTTCAAATAAACATAGTCAAGATGAACAACGACTATTTCCATTTCGTTTGGATGATGAAACTGGACAATTATTTCTTATTAAACAATTAGATTATGAACAGTATAAAGAATATCGTCTACAAATTAGTGCACAAGATTGTGGTCCGGGATCAGTTCCTGTTTATGGTACTATTATGATCAATGTTGAAGGTTTGTCTATTAAACTTTTATTTGTCTCTTATTTTTACTTACTAATGTTTATTTTATTTTTTAGATGAAAATGATAATCAACCAACAATGAATTTACGTATATCCGAATATTTTTTACTCTCTAATGATACTCTTTACATTAGTGAAGATACTCCCGTTCAAACATTATTAATGCATATTATTGTACAAGATTTAGATTCAGGTCTTAATGGTGAAGTAAAATGTTGGATAGAGAGTACAGATGATGATCAACGTATAAAATCAATGTTAAATATAACAAATTCATTGGGAAATATGTTTACTCTGTATACAACACAAATATTTGATCGTGAAATAAAATCAACGTATGGAATTCAAATTATTGTCGAAGATCTTGGTGTTAAACAACGACAACGTACCACAAGACAATTGTACATTATTATAAATGACATTAATGATGAATATCCAAAATTTAAAGAGAAAATATATGAAATTACTATACCCGAAGAAACGTTAGATGTTAAATTGAAAAGAGTAAAAGCGATAGATCTTGATTCAAATGAAAATGGTCGTATAACGTATCAATTGATTAGTGATGATAGTAATGATCAACATCATTTTTATATCAACTCAGCAACCGGTAAATTTTTATTTTTATCTTAATTTTTATTTTTTATTATTTTATTTTATTTTTTTTTCTATTAGGTGAATTAAAACTTTTACAAAAAGTTGATCATGAAGAAAAATCATTATATAATTTAACAATAAAAGCTGAAGATAATGGTTATCCTACTCATCTATCAACTAATGTATCTTATATAATTCATGTAAGTGACATTAACGATCATCATCCAATTTTTGAAAAACAATCTTATATATTCAATGATGTACGAGAAGATAGTCCATTAAATACATCAATTGGATTTGTACGAGCGTTCGATAAAGATGATGGAAATAATAGTTTAATTGAATATAAAATATTAAATAATGACAAATTTATTATTACAAAGTTAACTGGAGAATTATTTACAAATGATCAATTAGATTTTGATGTTAATATAACATGTTATGAAATGATTGTATTAGCCATAGATAATGGACAACCAATACGTTTAAATTCAACAACAAATGTTCAAGTTTGTTTACAAGGTAAAAGAAAATAGTTTAGAATGAAAGATAAAAATGATATATGTATATATATATTAAAATTTAGGTGTAAATGAATATAAACCAGATTTAGTATGGCCAAAACAAGATGAATATAGTATAAATGCTTATATTAATATTTTGAATGCATCATCGTTTATTCTACATGCTAATGATAATGATCGATCATTATTATCGAATTTAACATTTCAATTTGATAAAAATCAACGTAATGAAACTGTATTATCATTATTTAATTTAAATTCAAATGGTACATTAGAAATTTTAAATAAAGATTTGAATGGAATCTATGAATTATCAATTATAATTAATGATAATGAACAACCATATTCAAAATTAACCTATGAAACAATTCGACTTCTTATCTATGATAATATTTTATCACGAAATGAAATCTTATTAAATTATCGATCAAAAACAACAACTGTTTCTACAACAATGACAGTTAAAGAGACATATCTTGTTAAAACAACAAATAATTTAAAAGATCAAAAATTAACAATGGAAATGTTTATTATTTTTATCACAGTTATTCTATTTTGTATTATTCTCATTATTATCTGTTTTATTTCTTGTATATCGTGTCGAAAACGATTTTTAAAATGGATTAAAATTCGTCAAAATAATCAAAATAAAACCAAAAATCTATTGGAACATCATGAAAATGTTATAGAAAAACCCAAATCATGTTTAGTAAAAAATTCAAATAATAAACGTTTTGCATTATTAACAACATCACAGTCAAATAGAAAAGGAGTTTATTATGCTGAAGTAAGTTGTTATTTTTTTTATCACTTATTTGTATATAACATAATTTTTGAGTAATATTGTTCTATTTAAAGTACTTTCATCTATAGAGACACTTTTTATTACAGATAAATCAAAAATTTAGTAATGTTTACCTATTACTTGTGAATAGTTGTTAAAAGTAAGGTTATTCTTTTGATAATTAAAGAAACATGATATTAATAATAGGGTACTTTTTGTTCTTTTTGAACGATCTATCAAACACATCTATACGATATATGTACAGAAGTTAATGATCTATATTGTTCAACTTACACGTGTTACAGATGTTCAACAAACTTTTTTTGTCATTTGAGATATTTGCAATGATATATGAATATATTTTCTAATACTTGAAAATATGATCATGATGTCTATAGTTCGAAAGAAGGAGGAAAACGAAAAACTGATGATGAACATAAAAGTATACAATTCTAATTTAAATATATGGTGTATAAATGGAAAACAAAAGATTTAAAAAGTTTGATAAGACAATCATATTAAAGATGTTTATTAGTATTCAACAAGACACTATAGTTATCTATCCTTTCATTAATTTATTTTCAAATGAGCGAGATGATTTAGTTGATGATATATAAGTAGAAATTTAATCTTTTTCTAGTTCAATTAAATATATCAAATAAATTTTTATAAGATTTCTTTTCTTTCTTCTTCGAGTTCTAATTGAACATTCTTGTTCAATAACAACCCATGTGTCTATAATAGAATTAACATTTTTTCATACTTATAGTTACTTTCTTTTTTTTCCTGTTAATAATGTTCATCCGTATGAAAAATGGTGATCTTAGCCTTGAGTTCAGTATACTATCACATTATTCTTTCTACTTATTCAATAAATTGAACTTTTTTTGTGTGTGTGTGTATTATGAAAATGACATAACCTTGAGGCACTGCGTATACACGCATATATTTAAGTCAATAAAAGTTCAATCGTTCTGTTAGTGTATAAAGTTCAGGTTAGCAAAAATATCGTAATGTGTTGTTTGTATAGGTTTTTCTACGAATAATATGTTCGACCTTTCTTTATGAACAATACATCTACCTGTCATCACAAAATGAACTTTTTTTCTTTCTCTTCTACTTCTTCTTCTTCTGTATGAGTGTCTGTCTCCGCCTATTGTTCTATACAGAATTTAGTAAATAACAATGATGAATAGTAAATCTTTTTAAACAAAACAAAACGTACTGATCTAGTTTCTACCAGACAAATAAATGAAAAAAAAGCACGTGCCATCTCATTGTCTTTGCTATACCTGATTATAATGTTATTCTTTTCATTTATATGTCTATAGTGTGTTTAATGAATATGTCTACTCTAGTATAATCCGCTTTTTTGTTTAAGTCAATTGATATACACTCTTTCTCTCATTCATACGTAAATGGTTTTTCTATTCACATTTATATTTAAGGGTCAAAATAGACCTATTCGAGTCTGTTTAACTAACACTAATAAAACATAAGAAAGAGAATTTCTATAATATCCTTAAACTGAAGTGCCCCTACTATATGAATATTAACTGCTGAGCCTACTTGTTGATCCTTGAGGACTTAAAAAGCAAAATTCTCTGTCTATCAATAGTTGATATTGTGGTTATATATGCCTGCAAAAAAGTCTAATTGTATTACATTTGTCACCAATCAGATACTCCTCTCATTATAACAGCAGGTCTAAAATAAGCTGTTGTATTTTAAAATATTTTTCTGTACTTTCAGAGTCATTGTCTGCTAAATGATAATTCCATAGGCGGTAGCGGTTCAGCAAGTCGTGATAGTGGTATGTACTAAATATTGCTCATAATTACATGATATTTAGTAGTCTTTTAAATCTTGTTTAGATAACAACAGCCCTTACAATAAATTGCAAGCTTCGATGGCTGCTAGTGCTCGAACTAGTGAGGACACAGTGAATGATGGTAGCTCATATAATGATAGTTGTTATGGAAGTTCTGATATGGAAATGTATCATAATGGTCGTTTAACATCGTCAAACGATGGTGTTGTACATCCATCAACATCCATCGCTACCAATGAGTCAACAGAAACTGGTAAAATTCTTTTGAATGAAAATTATATTATTATCCAAAAAGATAACGATATTAATATCCCTTCTCCATTTTGTTCTTCATTATCGTCTACGACGAATAACAACAATAACAACAATACTCATCATTATCATCCACAGACAACATCCTCATTAAAACATCATGCAACATTAACAAATTCATTGACAAGATCTTCTCGTCCCGTCTTAACTAATCGTAACAGTACTACTAATAATAATAACAATAATAATAATTCGTCTGCTGCTCTTATAACGACGTGTCAAACATCTCGTAATTACACTCAACAATATAAAACACAATTGACTGCTCCTAATCATGATTCACCAATAATACCAGAGCAAAAATTGTCACATATGATTCATATTAGACGTTTGAGAGAACAACAACAGCAACAACAACAATCGAAATTATCTCCAACAAAGAAAGACGATTCAATGGATTTTTTTAAGAGTGAAGATGAATACCGGAAAATATTGAATAGTACAACATTAAATATAACACCATTAAATGAATACTATTTATAGAAAGAGATAAAAGATACACATCTTGTAAGTTTACCGGTGCTCTTTTTTTTTTCTTCTATTGAACATGGCAGCGGCAAGGCATTGTTAGAAAATAATCAGATCAGAATACATTCATGTATCCTCTACGGTGTAGTCATTTTGTGCCTTTTGAAGGTTGTCGGACTGTTTTTCAAGTGATCACACTCTATGACACTTGAATACCAATCGACCTTGTATTAGTGATTAACAGATGTTTCATTTACGAGACCAATATCAGCTTGAAATATCTCTAGAATTGGACCACAGAGAAGCGATACGCTTGTTAAAAGAATGTGGAAAAAGAGCCGAAGCATTCAAGCGATTTTTACATTTTTTTTTTTTAATTAGTTGTTCATCTATAGAACATAAGAAAAGATGGGTTACTTTATCTATATGTCAGGTAATAATGACAGTTTTTGATCCATCGAGAGGCTTTTAAGCCCTCACTCGACATCAACTGTAACCAGGGATTCCAGATCTTCTGATTTTTGGAACGTTTTCTGTCACGTTTCTACTCTTTTTTTCGTTTTAAGGTCTACTGATTTTCTACTTCTTTTTCTCAGGTTTTTCTGATTTTTGTGTTTTGGATTTGGAATCCCTGACTGTAACAGTTATCTTTTAAGCAAATTACAATTGTGGATTGACAAGTTTTATTATAAAAAGATATTTTAAAGGGATAGCAAAATTTTATCTGCCTAGAGTTCGTTCATCTACCGGTTTTACTTTTTTATGTTTTATTTTTCCATCAAGCTTTGTCATTATGGATATTGCAGTGACTTTTCTCTCATACTGCACGTGCCCTTTTATGTGCATTTTTGTTTGTTTATTCTTAGTTGTTGATTTATTATTTTACCTGTTTCTTCCCATTTTAACTGTATATGTGTTTCTGATAATTTGTTCATTGTCAGATATTCTCATTCATATAGTATGTGTATGTGCGTATGTATATATAGAGAGAGAACTAAATGTTTTTTTGTTGTTGTTTTTTAAAGAATTTTCAAACACAAATAAATAAAAACTCTGTCTTTGAATCATTTTTGAGAATTTTATACAGCAAATATAAATTTCCATATATAAGTTAGGTGTGGAATAAAATGGTGAACAGATGAATCAGGAATTAGAGTATCATTCAGTATTGATTTTGTATTTTAATCAATGAAAACTAATTTAAGACAAAATAAATTCACCTTAAATGAAAGTCAATTATTTTTGTATCTAAAGAGTACGATTGCTCTCAATTATTTTCATTTAATTCTATTCTCTCATTACTAAGTCAAAAAACAGAAATTTATGAGTCGTATGTCATCGGGGATGCAAAAATTTGTTACTCTATTCTGATTAATCACATAATTTCAATACAAAGATTATTCTAGTACTTAATCGTGCCAGTTAGATATTTATTTGCTTCGTTTTTTTTTCAAAGATATTTCTAATAATGTCTATTATAACCGATAATTTTAATCTGGTCATTTATTTCTAGCACAGCTTTGTTTGAGACGAAAGTTATTTTAATAATAATTGTCAGTTTTGTTAGCTGTGTGAGTGACTATATAATGAGAGTCGATGTTCATTTATTCAATAACATCGATAAGATATAACAATTTGTTCTCGCTTTTTCGCATGTGTGTAAAATTTTTTATTTTTTATTACCATTATTAAAACATGGTGGTACTTGCTATAGTCTTATTATGTTTTTATTCATCACTGACAACCAATTGTTACGACGTGTTTTCCTTGTTATTAACATTTTTTTTTTCTCTCTTACTATGACGATTTTCATTTGTTATTATTATATAACTTGACAATTGTATGTTAACTGTGAATATTGTGAATATATGTGAGCGGGATTTTTGAAATTAATTTTTTCTCTTTTAAATGTTTGTACATCAGTTAAACAAATACGGATGTAGATTTAAACCGGTTCCTTTCTCGAAACTTAACGGTGATGTTTAGACGCAAAATACAGTTGTATTCATGAGCGAGAGGAAGAGAGAAAGAGAGAGAGAGAGAGAGAAAGAAACAATCTTTACCAGATGTGTGCCTGTTGTAAACTAACCGCATCTTAATTAACTTGCGATAGAAATGATTACTATCAAAACAAGGTCATACAATTGTAGTTAATTAGTTCGCCAAGAAGACATTTTGATTGTTTTTGTTTTTTTGAGATTGAACATGCTGTGCAATGTGTCTCAAGAGAAGTTAATTAGTATCATATTAAACGAAACAAATTATAGATGAGAATAATTGTACATAAAAAGAGACTACTAATTCTAAATTTGAGCTTAACGATTGTTTTATAGTCAAAATTGTTTCCTCTATTGTTACTTGTATTCTTTTCATAAATGACACGTGATTACTAAAAATTTCTTGAGATTCATGTTTTACATATGTAAAATCGATTTCATAAAGAAATCAGAGACTTTTTCTTGTACATTTGAATCCAACAATATGCCTTCATTTTTTTTTTTTTATCAGTGTGTGATTTTTAGTCCAAAAATATTATATCAAATGAATAATGTTGACCACTAAGAAAGATATCATTTTCTAATTTTTGTCACGCAACAGTTAACCATGAAAAGAAAATGATATTATAAATAGTGTTATCATAATGATCTTTGTCTTTCCAAGGTAATATACAATCTAGATGATCTTTTGGTTTTTGTTTCTTCAAATTCTTATTTCTTAAACATACTATTTGCACGACATTATTATTATACAATCTTTATTGACCATTATAAATTACATTTCTTTCGTGTTTAAAAAGGTCACAAAAACGGCTGGTTTATGTACAAATATATACGTATTTCAACACATCGTTTAAAAATCACTATTTATGAGAAGATGAATGAATATGTCAGATATGAGAGTCAAAGAATGGCAGGTTGCATGAAATATTTAAGCTCTAATCATATTTCTGATCCTGTTAGTCTGTTAATTGAAAATTTAAACTATTATTCTAACATTTCTAAAGATTCTTCACTTTTAATAAAAAAAATAGGAAAAACAGCTAGCTGCCTATAGCCAAAATTAATCTGACTTTAATCAATTCAAAGTCTATGTATCGACTTTTGATTATATTATAAAATCGTCATAAAAATGAACTTATCATTTAGTATCGTCTATACATTTAAATCGTAACATGATACACCGATTATTATAAAGAAAAAGAAGAAGAAAAACCCCGTTAGTTAACACCTCCATCTTCGTTTTTCATTTTCTTTTTCTTTGTTTTCCTATAATCATTATAGAAGATATACAGATCTATTTGCAAAAGATACATTAAAACGATCTGATTGAAACTCTATGAAATTTGTTAATATTGTATCCGAATAAAAAAAATTTTCGTTTACATCATCAAAGATGTACGTATGTACTCGAATTTATTCTACTTTCATATACATAAACAATTGAACATGTATATGTACGCAGAAAACTTTTAAGTTGAAAAAAAAATGAATGTTGTACCGTTCATTGAACTTATTTATGTAAACTCCTATAATCTAGCATCATACACGTTCGAATTGACACTTCAGTTTGTTTCATACATTTCTATTCTTAAAATTAAATATTAAAAAAAGAAAAAAACGTATCCACCTATGAACATGTCCACAATAAATAATTTCATTCTTTTATCAAGTACATTTGTTTTGTTTATATGACTAACTGTTATTTTCTCATTAGATAATATTAAATGAGTATATATATCTTTGAAATATTTCTATAATCTATGTTATAGATAGATTTTAAACGTAGAAAAAAGGAAAAAATGACTTATCCAAAATCTTTCTAGTCGCTATATAATCTCTTTGGATTATAAATTATTTATTCCTATATTAAATACATTGAACTTCTTTTCGTCTATTTGGACATAGACTTAATCAATATAATTATCTTCAACAACGGGAAGTGATCTCTAATTAAAATTGCCAAAAGGTGCATAGCTTTTTAGATTTTTAATCTCGATGTATACTTGAGTGAGGATTTTCTACAAATATACAACGGTAAAAAGATTAGTAAAATTCATGCAAAATGTGATAATGACTAATTGAATTTTGTTCAATATAACGAACATCTAACTATTGCTTTTAGTATAGAATGAAGTATAATTAACTATCGTGAGTTAATTAGTTTTAGAACTGTAATTAGTAACTATATATATATATATGTATTATTTTGTAAAAGTAAAAGAGTTGTCTGTACTTTCTCTATTTTCCCAATGATGAATGACATAATCTATTTTTAATATTAATCATATAATAAGTTTTTTTTTTCTTCTCTTATCTGTAATATACAAGAAGTCTCGTTTCGAACAAATTTTTCAACGAGACATACAGCCGGATGTGAACCATTGGTCATTTAAAAAGTGCACTTTAAAATAGAATTGCATACGCAGGAAATATCCAGTTTACCTTACAGTCAAACAATGTGCGTCTTACAGCATCAATAAGTTTCTTTTTTATAAAGTCAAATATATAACATGACTGACATAAGAAAGAAGAGAGGAAATCAATTGTTATATGTAGAGGGAGAAATTATACTACCATTATATTTTTTTGATGTATTCGTGTTAGACAAAAAAATCTCCGCCCTATGTCGTCTTGTTGGAAGATGACCAGGGATTATTATGATTTTTTAACACATCCGATTGATGATGTCACTGTGAAGCACTAACTCCCTGCTGATCTAAGAACACAGACAGCAGTAACTTGTTCAATTTCTTAATGCTAATTTTTAAGACTGGATATTCTCAAACGATAGTATTCACCATGAAAAATTTGTCTTGAAGGATCAAAGAGCATTGAACATCACAGTCATACATGACCAATGTAGAATTCTTGTGATTCTCTTCGCATGTTGATTGAACGTTTTAAAATTTTCATAGTTTTGACGCAAGATTTGAATTGAGCATTAATCTATTCAATTTAAAAGCACACACAGAGTAATATTCAAACGATTATTATTAGAACTGTGTTAGTAATAAT